TCGCTGTGTCCACTGCATAACCAAGTTTCCCCCCACCCACCCTCAGCCTCTTGAAAACACACACATAAAACAAAACACACATATATGATACAAAATGGGGGCCTCACTAGATGGTTACAGAGAGCCTGACTCCTTCTCCTGTCATTCCTCCAGGGCTCTTCCTCTCTCCAATATGCACACTCCGAAGACAATAGTTCACTTCAGAAGGAAGGGAGAGACTGATCCAGTAACAACCAGGTGAGCCCTCACTTGTGAGCTAAATTTTAAATAAGATATAGTAGGGAGAAGCGCACAAAGCTACTTCCCAGCAGGCTGGATTAATAAACAAAGAACAAGGCAGCAGAAGAGCAGTGAAATCTAAACTGGTATTTTACTTCCTTGAGGATACTCCTTGGTTTATAAATAAACATGGTGCACCGGGGCCAGCTGGGGAGGAGGGGAAAAGAAAGGGGCCCAGAAGAGCCCTGGCTCTTGGAACTACTAAGACTTCCAAGGCGATGCTGGCCAACACACTTGTCTCACAGACTGGGATGGGAGCCCAAGGTGGGTGCAAGTTGCCCCTGGGGATCAGACCAGGGCTGAAAGGAGAATCCAACTTTACTGACTTCCACCAAACATTTTCCTCTCACAATTCAACTGAAATATTTACCCGACTCCTACCCTGTACTACATTACAGTGCCAGGAAATAAATCCTCAACTAACCTGAACCCTTTATTAATGGGATCATTTTTCTGCATTCCACTTTTTAAAAACGGGCTCCAAAGAAAGGCAAGCCCATGTTTAAGGATTTATAGCCTTTTTTCTTTTATTTTTTCCATTTGTTTTCCAACAGTTGGGGAACATCTTGAGGAAAACCCACATTCCTTCCAGTCTCCACTCATTGTACATCCCTAACTAGACACACACAGACTTCACACTCCAAATCACAATTCTAGGACTTTACCAGAACTTGGTCATCAAACCAAGATTCTCTCTTGAACATCAGGCTGTACTTTCTAAAAATTAACATTTTTTAAAAAACATGCGGTGTGGAAATAAAGGTTTTTCTGCATAGTTTTCAGGTATTTAGAAATGTGTTGAATTAGAACTCCTTTTTCCCCCTCACAGTATATTAGAGTTTTGGGCTACTAACCCCATCAGTGGTGGGAAGCCCTGGATCCATTTAGTCAGCATTCTGGGATTCAGCCAAAATTCCATCCAGAGACAATGAGGCAATACCTGCATTTTGAAATAAATGCCTCAAGATAATGCGTTCTCTGAAGCAGGCATAGCAAGCTCTCTGTGCCCTCCCCAGCGGATGTGAACATACTCTCCCTAATCTGAAACTCATTCATGGGTAGGCCTTGAGTTGTTTGTAAAGAAAAGAAACATTTTGGGACCTCCCTTATGGCACAAGGGGTTGAGATGCAACCTATGAAGTTATCCACAACCACTGTAGCACGAATTCGATCCCGGCACGAATTCGATCCCGGGCCAGGGAGATAGCCATATGGTGCAGCAGACCTCTCCTGTCTCGCCTGCTGCTCCTCTCAGCAGCGTATTTCAGTCAATCTGCCTGTTCTGTTCCCCATTCTGTTTCTGTTCCCTCCCAACACACACACACCTCTGGCCTGTACCCCAGTTCTTGTATGCATAAATAAATGAATCTTTACAAAAAAAAAAAAAAAAAAAAACAAGAAAACATTTTAAGAGAGGCAAGTAGGTCAGTCCTCAATGAGCCCCCAAGTTCCATTCAGGTATTAACCAGGTTCTAACGAGGCCTATCTTGCTACTGCAGCATACGTATCTCTTCCTTAAATCTTCCTAAGCTGAGCCAAAGCATGTAGGAGGAATACAATTAGCAAGAAAGCAGCATCTCAAATTGGTCCTCCCTCTGAGAACGGGCACAAGTCCATCTGGATGACCACTAATCTCCATCCCTGGGGACAACACTGGTTGTTCTCCTTGTTCATCTCAAAGCTCCGAATCTCCTTCATCACAATCAACCTTTACGGAGTTGACTGGGGTGCCAGGTATTTCAAAAAAGAGCCTTGGGAGGGGGCGAGAGGTTAGAGAGGGAAATAAGCCATCATCACTGCCCACAAAATGCTCACAGCCAGTGGCGACACAACACCAGCAGATGCTCCCCAGACACTATCACAAGAGAAGTTGCCTCCGGTTGGAGGAAGACACTCCCTCTCCATCCTCAGAACACAGTGATAAGTCTTCCTTAAATGTATTTTGATGTAACAGAGGCTTACAAAACCATAAGAAGATGGCTTACAGTAAAACGGGACTTGTGGAAATCATGGAATGCCAGAAGTCTTGGGTGACAGAGATTAATTAAGGACAATTGTCAAGGACAGGCAGAGGTGGACAGGGGATTGAACCCAAATCCAGAGCCTGTTTTCTTCACCAGCTCACCTTGTGTCATTGGGTATGGCATATTCCCTTTGCAGTTCTATAGATGAGCAGGCAGGATAAGATCGGTGATATTTAGTAACAGAAACCCATATGTATCCAAACAATATTGTATCTAGAAACCCAACATAAAACAAACAAAAGGCGAGTTGCTCAGAGCCAATGGGCTGACTGGATTGCCCTCAGGGAAGCCAGCTGGAAAAGTGCAGGAACAGATTGTGAGAGCCCCTTCCAGTACTCTCACGTCCTCTCTTGGGTACCTGGGATGGACTGAAGGAGGGAATCCTCATTGTAGGGCTTGGTGATTTATATACCACATGACATTGAAAGCTTTGCACAGCAGTATAAGGTTAATTAACTTGTGAACTAGAATCTCCTGTGATCTGAGTTGTGAACTGGGATCTGATGGCAAGTAGAACCAAGGTTTTCTGGATACCAAGCATGGTAGTAGTCCTACTGTTTCCTGAGAAGTGTATGGAACATTAGGCAGAATCAATAATTTCCTTATATTGTAATATAAATATTTGTATATATATGCATAGGAAAAAATGTCTTGAATATACCTCTCAAAATTATCATTAGCTATCTGTGATAGTAATATAGATGATTTTCAGTTTATGCATTGATGTTTTTCTAATTTCCTAATTTTATAATGAACAGATATTATTTATGTGAAGCATCACTGCTTATTAAAAGTGGTTTTAATAATCCACACTTGATACTCCCATGTTGGCTTCTATAGCTAGATAGGGATGGGGGTATAGGTGGTATCTCTGACCTTTTGAAGTTGACAAAAGCCCTAAATTACATTCCCTTGGGGTAGAGGGTCCTGAGCTGACCTGAGAAGCAGTTCTCCTGGTTAAGTTTTCTGAAGCCTCACTGTCTCATTTCTGGGAGGTTGTTTTAGAAAGTAACAGCAAATCATGTCCCTGACACCCCTCTCAAATATATGCCTCTGCACATATATATGTATATATATATCAGCACCCTTCAGCTACCATATATAGAAGGGGATGCTAATAAAACTAAAGCTGGTCACATGAGCCCCAGACCAGAGACCCTTACTCCCAATGCCGCAGGCCTAGTCCAGTGGGGTCTATAGACAGCAAGGCTCCAGCCAAAGCAACAACACTCTTTGCCCCACCCTGAAGCCACAGGCAAATATGAAGATCACAGCACTGCCTCAGAAGAAAAAAACACCACCCCCAAGGCAATCCTGGCTTGGGTCAGGCAATGAGGCGGGACAAGGCTTGTCAGCCACTTCCCTTAATTGATGCCAGTTCTGCCCTCAGAAATCTTCTAAATATTTAACATGTCACCCTCAGGCACAGCACAAACCCCCCAGCAGTCAGCAAGAGCTACAGCAAGACCTGCAAGGAATAAATGACCTGAGGACTCAGTGGCACAAATTCTCTGGCTTTGGGAGGAAAGCGCAGCCTGATGGGCGGGAGACAATGCTGAAAAGGACTTCAGAAGGCTGACCCTGACTGCCTCTTTGAAAATCCATAAGAAGCCAGGAGATGGGAGATGTTTTCAAACGTGGGGAGTGATGGTGCACAATCAACTGGAGTCTCAAGCTTCTCTTTCTCAGACAAAGAAAAAGCTTGAGGTGCGTCTCCTGCTCCCACTCCCCAGACCAATGTCAGTCCCCGTACCACGAGCTGGTGGCAAATCTCTCCTGACTTTGGAAGAAAGGAACCCAATCAGCCATGTCTATTTCCAAAAGGGAAGAAATCCACTAGGGAAGTAGCTCTTCAAATGTATTCTGCTATGGGGCTTGACAGAGAAAAACGCCCCCCACGCCTACCTCCAATGACTTCACACAGGCCTCACCCCAGATGACTCTGCGCTCTCCTGCAAGGCCTGGGAGGTGCCATCACCACCAACCGGGTACTGTGGGTATCTTGCAAAATTCCCCTGAATTTCAGAAGACGCCTGCCCCTATCCTTCTTTCAACCCCCCCTGCCATGGATATCAGACAAGGGGAAGGCGAGGTTGTCTACTCCCAGGTTCATGTTTGTCCTCCTACATCCCACTTGTCTCTGCCGCTGACAATCTGGGAAACCTAAAAAGGAGTATTTATCAACCCCATTGAAAGCCCCGCCTCCGCTTCGCCACCCTCCTCCGTCCTGACCCTCCAGGCAGCGCCCCAGGCAGGATCATCTGGGCTCTGTCATTTTCACCTGACAAAAGCGCGGCAGCGGGGCGCGGCGGCGGGCGACCCCAGCCGGCATTTCTCCCCGCGGGGAGAGACGCGTGTTCCCGCAGTGCGCCCCTTCGGGGCCTCTGCAAATTCCACCAACCCGGAACAAAGGGGCCGGGCGCGGCGAGACGCAGCCCCCCGCGGAGCCCCGTGCGCCCCAGCCCTCCCGGCCCCGCCAGCCGAGCCTCCGCGCCCTGGCCGGGCCCCGCAGGGCAGCGGCGACCTGTGCCGCCCGCTCGCAGGCGTCCTCGGCAGCTACTGTACCTGCTAAATTTAGCAGCCACCGGGTATTAATAGCCGGAGCGAGCCGGGCTGGGCACCGCAGGGGCGCGCGGTCTGGGGGCCACGGGCGGAGAAGGGGGGAGAGCAAAGGGCGCGGGGAAGAAGGCCACTTACACCACCAGCCTGGAGATGATCCATGACACCATGGCGGGCGGGCGGGCGCGGCCCGGGCAGCGCTGAGCGGCTCTGCTGCGGGCAGCTGCGGCGCCACCGGCACGTAAGTCCGCGCACGGCCGCCGCCGCCAGACTGAGCGCGCCCGCCGCCCTGCCCGGCGCTCGCGAGTCGGCGCAGCCGCGGCACGTTCCGCCGGCGGCGGCCCCAGCCCCCCGGGGCTCCGCGGGCCCGCGGCGATTGGGCGGCGAGCCGGTCGGGCACCAGCGGGACCCGCCCCGCCCTGCTCGTCCCGGCCGCTGGCGAATTGGGGCGGCTCCTCTGCACCCCTGGTGCCCCCCTCGTGAATGGAATCCTAAGGTGGCCCATTTGGCAGGGCAGAAAGCAGGTGCCGCCCCAGTCTCGGTGTTACAGAGAGGAAACTGAGGCCTGAAATGGGGGGCTCTGTCTACACTTGTTCTGGTTGGGATGCAGTCATGCCTCGCAGGTGGTATCTCTGACCTTTTGAAGTTGACAAAAGCCCTAAATTACATTCCCTTGGGGTAGAGGGTCCTGAGCTGACCTGAGAAGCAGTTCTCCTGGTTAAGTTTTCTGAAGCCTCACTGTCTCATTTCTGGGAGGTTGTTTTAGAAAGTAACAGCAAATCATGTCCCTGACACCCCTCTCAAATATATGCCTCTGCACATATATATGTATATATATATCAGCACCCTTCAGCTACCGTTGTAGAGGGGATGCTAATAAAACTAAAGCTGGTCACATGAGCCCAGACCAGAGACCTTACTCCCAATGCCGCAGGCCTAGTCCAGTGGGGTCTATAGACAGCAAGGCTCCAGCCAAAGCAACAACACTCTCTGCCCCACCCTGAAGCCACTGGCAAATATGGGATACTGTGCTCGCCTCTTAAGGGACTTAGCTGTATGCAGAGCGATCCCACCAAGTGTCCCCAATCCCCGAGGGATTTTCTGCTAAAGGAACAAATCTGGGCATGTGTCTCCCCTAGTTATAATTCTGGAAACCCTACAGGATCAGATCTCTGACTACAAATGTGTTGGTACCACCATTCTCCAAATGTTGTTCTAGCTCTTTTCACTTTAGGCATTTTTTTGACTTACATGTGTTCTGTCCCCTCTTCCCTGCTCACACTCCCCATGTCTCACTGCCTTCTTCAAGGCTCAGACAAAAGCTTATTTCCTAAGGAAGGCCATTTCCCAGAGTGCTGCACCAACATTTCTGTGTGGAGGTGGCTCAGGGGTACAGTCTGACCAAGAGGAAGTTAGAAGCTGCTACTGCATAGCACCAGTGGCCTGCTAAACCTTAGGCAAAGGGAAAAGCATGCATCCCAAACATACTTTCAAATATTGCATTAAATATTATTTATCTTGATTACTGCAATTGATGGCACGTCCTTAAGTTATGCCACTGAGGCAGAGCCTCATCCTCCTCGCCCTCGTCCTGGCCTGTATATAAGTCATGGCACTTTATTTATTTGTTTATTTATTTTTTGAAGTTTGAAAGAGTGGCTGGGGAGAGAGATTCTTAGTCTTGCTCTGCCCTCCTCAGCTCACCACAGCTTTTATTAGCAAAAACAACAAAGTTGGGCCTCCCCGGTGGCGCAGCGGTTGAGCGCTGGGTTGCGAAGCTGCCCTCAACCTCTGCAGTGCTGGTTCGATCCCCGGCTGATCCCCGGCCACCGGAGGAGGGTCCCACATGGCGCGCAGACCTCTCCTGCCGCCCGCTGCTCCCCTCAGCAGTGTACTTCAGTCCTTCTGCCTGCTCTGCTCCCCACTCTGGCTCTGGTGAATTCTCTCACCCTCCCGCGCTTCTGACTGTGCCCAGTGCTTGTATAAATACATAAATAAATAAATAAATAAATAAATCTTTAAAAAAAAAAAAAACAAAGTTACAAAGCAAGATACAGGATGGACAGAACTACAGAACAGTGGTTCATTTTCTTCTTTCTCAGTGTTCAGCATATTTCTTGCACACACTCATCACCAAGGTTCTGCCTTATCAAATTGTTCTTTTCTCACACTGTTTCACTGACACAGGAAAGCTCATCCTGATCTATACCTGGGCCAGTCTTCCAGCCCATGCTGATCAGTCTTGTAGCCATGACCAGTCTTCAGCCATGGCCATGATGTTTTCCTTGTCTCCGCACTTCAAGCCTTAGCGGTCCCCAACTTATAGGGGTACAGCTTGCTTGACAGCAGGCAGGTGGTGACTAGCAGGGGCTGGTCCTATTTGTTTGTCTGAGGTGGACCTTCTCTATAGTTATCTCTCATCCCCCAGTTAGCTTGGCTCCTTCCTGGGGGTGGGTGGAGCTCTCTTTAGCAATTCACCCTCAGGGTCCAGTAGTTCCAAGGTGGCATCTGCCCATACTGTTTTCTACAAGGTTGCAAAGGTTGCCAAGATGGTGACTGTCCTGACTCTGACCCTCGATTAGCCCAGAAGGTCTCCCAGGCCAACGTGGTAAATATGGTATCTGGGATTCTGTCCCCTATGGGTTGTCCAGACCAGTGTTAGCACTTTGAGTCCTAAGTGACTGAGTCTGCGTGAGGACCTATTTTTTGGCTCGTTCTTATTCTCTTCTTCGGTTTTCTGTGCTCACTTCCCTCTGACCCTCGGTGCAGGAACTTGGGTCCCCAGTGCTGGACTATGGGGTTGAGCAGCTGGGTAGTAGGCACAGCCCTCTCCTAGCTCCCCAACAGAATTTTGACATCTGAGAGATGTCTTCCCGATTGCACTTCCTGGCACCTGTGATAGGGTTTCTTCTTGGTGAGACTGTCTCTCTGTCTCTCCTATCCATCTGGGTGCTGCCTTTTCCTCCGTGTTGTAGAAGCTCGATGAGTTTGAGTTTCAGGTCTGCTTCTGTGTAGGTCAGTCCAGATTAGGTGTTGGTATGTGGTCACAGAAGGAGCTTGGCACAACTTCTTATTCTGCCATCTTGGGCCCACCGAAATTTCTGGCATTTATTGCTAGATTTCTGAACAAGTACATTATGCTATTTCTTTTTTTTTTTTAACAATATTTGCTTCCCCCCACCCCTTCAGGTTGAGTCCCCATAGAATTTCCTTCCCCAATGCACCTGTGCACCATCACCACAGTCCCCTGTGCTCCTCCCTCCCTCTGATCCCTCTCCCTCCTCCTCCCCTGCAGTATGTCTCTGGTTTATAATTGTCTGTTTTTGCTTTGTCATGTTTTATACTATTATTATTACACTGCTATCTTATTTGGTTCCCCTATATTCCTGTTATAAGTGAAAACATCTGATATTTTTCTTTTTCCTTCTGTCTTATTTCACTGAGCATAATTTCTTCTAGCTCCATCCACGTTGCTGCAAATAGCATGAGTTATCTTTTTTGATTGCTAAATAATATTCCATTGTGTATATATACCACATCATCTTGATCCAGTCATCTATTTTTGGACATTTGGGTTGAGTCATGGCACTTTATTCTGTTACACTTGGAAAATCTTTGTCCTCTGCTCCTTGACTCTGCACCACCTTCCTTACCCTCCTCCATGGTGCTCTCTCAGAGCCCTATTCTCCTCCGCGGGCTGTGCATGTCATGTATAATTCAGTGTCAGATGGGAGAGGCACAGGAGAGAGCTAACTTAAAGCTTTCTTTAAAGGAACCCTGCCCAAGAAAGCTTCCTAACAGAGACGTGGGAACTTTAGACCTTGGCAGAAAGAGGCTGGAAATTATCTTCATGTAGCAGAGTGGGGTGTGTGTGTGTGTGATAGCAAAAAGACCTTGCCCATAACAAGAGGACTGCAGTCAAGACATCATCTGTAAGAGGTTCAGAGGAACCCATAAAATACCAGTAATAAAGTTTCAGTGGGTTGTGTTGGTTTTTTTTGTTAATGCTGTCTTGACCAAGTTTTGAGACCCCAGGTAGAGGCCAGTTATTTCCCCTTCTTAGGCAGTCACTTACATCCACACTCCCAATTACTCCCTGATCGGCTTCAGGTCACTATATTGTCCCACAGCCAAATACCAGACAACCAGAGCTCCTACACCTTCGAGCCCACTAAAATTATTCAAATCAGCACATCCTGAAACTGCTTGTCCTACCTTGTCTTTTCCATCCCACAGAAACCACAGTTGCCCTCTCTCCCTCTGCCTCATAACTCACCCCAGTGTTCACCCTGGGTGGCCCTTCATGGCATACTGTGTTCTTTCCAGGGAACAATGACTATTAATAAAATAATAAAACTTTCTGGTTGATCTATGTCTAGCCTCACATATAAGGCGATATAGTTAAGCAACACTCCACAGGAAAAAGCTCGAAAAACTCTCCAACAAATCTGATCACTACCAGGGAAATAAGACTTTGCTAAACTTCTCCTCCCCTTGACCCATGCCCTCTACCTCCACCCTCTGGGAAGGCCAGAAAATGCTGTTGGCTATTTTGAGGGATGAAAGTGAGGTGGAATATTATGGTTCAAAGATACCCTCTTGGTGAGAAGTAGGAAAGCTAACCACATGCTGTTTCCTCTTGAACAGGCCCCATTCCTATAAATGGAATTCTCAGGTTTGAACTGGACACTTTAATTAATTGAAATACTATTCATGAGATGACAATTTCTGGAGGTCTTTTTTTGTTTTCTAAAGAGAAGAAGACCAGAAAACTGGTAGGACCAAACCTAGATTTCACTCAAGGACTGTGGGGGGCATGGAAATGCATTTGACAGAGCAAGCTTCTAAGGGCAGAGAAAGGGAAAGAACAGAGAGAGAAGAAAGTTGCCTTTTTAGTCAGTCTATCTTGTTCAGTGCAACAGTTACACACGCCACATCTCTTCGTTCTAGACCCCTCCCCTTTGTCCTCGAACCTGGAAAATGTAAGGCCAGGGAATGGACACAGGCTTATAGACAATAAGACTCTTACTGTCCCATCAGTTGGCTCACTTTTAAGTTTAAGTTCTTTTTTCACATGGAGTGCAGATGTAAATGGGTGCCTATTATGTGTTTGCCCCATCTCTTTCCCCTTTCTTCTGGGAATACCTCTCTATTTTTGTATTCAGGAATGGTTCTCCCTATACTCCAGTTGTAAAAAGTGTCATTTTCTTTTTCTTTTTTTT